GTGCAGGACCCGGCACTTGGCCTGGCTGAACAATATTCTGCTTGTCCAGAGGCACCATTTATACCATGAAATTATTGTATTAAAAAAAAAAAAGAAGAGTCTTAAATGGCCCTTTTGGGTCTGGAGGAGAGGTGGGAATGTCCTGGGATTTGGCTGTGCTTCCACACCTGGACACGCATCCACGCCAGTATGAATAACACAGAAAGGTCTTCCTCCAAAATAAACCTGCTCCACTGATATACCCTGCATAGGAAACTATTATCTCTTACACTTTCCTGGAAATAAATACTCAGATACTACTTTGGAGTAAATAAAGATGAGACCTTAGTGGTCCTTAAGTGCTTTTCATAGTCAAAACATCCCAAAGTGCTTTCTGGTAATTAAGGCTGAATAGTGGTCAGGAGACAAGGGAGCCCATTGTAGTCATACTACCAAATACCCATCATTTTTTCCTGCAAGAGAGCAAGGGAATGATTGGCTGAAGGAATGATACAAATTCGACTTGAGATTTTGAGGTTTATTCTAATAAAGGGAAGCAGCCTCAGGGAAGGATTTTGATGAGGAGATGGCTGTAACCAGAACATTTCTATTCAGCTGTGCTGTGATTGAGTGCCCCATTGCTGAGCTTATCTCTGGGTGACTTTAAAATGCTCCAGCTCTTGTGTGTTTTGTGCCAGTTGAGCTGCTCAGGTGTGTGAAGACATCCCCATGGGGCTGGTGGAGATGACAAGGGACCTCAGGAGAGCTGGGCCTTTTTGAAGCAGAAGCAGGATGGGGTGGGATGTCCTCAGACATCCCTAATGGCACTGACCACTGTATTTGATCCTGGCACCCCCAAGCTATGTTTCACAGCACAGCCTTACCTACCCCAAATAGCTCAAGGTGTTGTAGCCAATCCTGCACCTCACCGGCCTACCCTACACCTGGTGGGATCAGCCCCAGGAGATGTCTCCTGTTGTTGTGGTTGTCTCCTTTTTCTGCTCTCCAGAAAGATGTGGAGAGCACCGGTTTTCCAAATTTTAGTTCATTCCCTGGTTTAGCTGCATCCTTACCCCGCAGCTTTGGAGAAAAGGATGGGTACATTATATACGAGCATTATAGTTCTGTGCTCTGCCATGTTTTCCCAACACCATTGGATATAACATCACTGTGTTACCTAGTAACTCCACACAATAAAACCTATGTGGCACACTGGATTTTCCATAGGCTTCCCAAGGTGTGCTCACGGCTTTGCCTGGCAGCACTGGGGAACAAGTAGCTCTAACAGGGCTCTTGGGTAGTGAGAGGAAGATGAGACACAGGAGAAGCACGCATACCCTGTCTGCGTGCTGCCAGGCTATCACCTCCCTCCTAACCTACGCAATAAATCATGGCTGAGCAGCACAAGCTGTTCCTGTCATTGAGACACAGAAAGGAGCACTCCTCTTGGCACCAGGGATGTGATAATGACCCTGAATTAGAGCTGTACGTCTCCAGCACCTGATTCTTTTGCTCCTGTGGGTGCAGCCTGATGTTTCTCCTCTTGCTGTTGCAGGAACAGGTCCTGGTCTTGCTTATGTGGAGGAAAATTTAAAGGAGCAATGTCCAGCCTGGCTTTCGGAGCAGCTTGTGATAATAGGTTTAAGTACCCGATGGCCACGGCTGCTCCATGGACACCAGGGGCAGTGGGACAGCTGTGGGCAGAAGCAGGGAGAGCCCACCACCATAGTCACGTCAGGGGATGAACAGGGGATGCCTGTGGTGTTTTGGGTTGTGTCAAGGCACATACACACTCACTAAACTGGTAACATGGTCCCAGGAATGTTTTTGGCCCAAGGAACAGCAAGGAATGCTTTTGGCCCAAGGAACAGCAAGGTCCCTGCTGGCTCCCAGCTGTGCTCGGCCCAGGCCAGGGACGGAGGTGGGTGAGAGTTTGGGACCCTGTGTGACATCCCCAAATCCCCCCATAGCCCATGCACCAAGCACACAGAGACCTCCAGCCCAGGCATCAGGCAAAACCGCCGGGCACTGCAATACTTCACTTCTCAGCATCTGAGTAATTTTTGGAAGTGGTTTGAGAGGCTCCCTTTAAAAATCTCATTTCCTAAAGCCTTTGATCTATGTCTTTTTAAGTCCTTCTGAAACTCAAAGTGTTTGAGTAGTCAGGCCAAGATCTCAGATGCCAGCGTGCTCCTGTCACTTGGCTGCTAAGTGAACTTTTAAGGGACATTACCACTGAGCCTAACAGATCCAGGCTCTTTCACAAGTTAAATATTTGATCTTGATGTTGCAGCAGAAATCACACATGCTGTCTTAAAAGAAGCAAGAACCATTCAGGAATATTAAAAGGCAGGAAAGCTGAGATTCAGGATTTTTTTAACTTGTCAGAAGAGGAGAATTGCCAAGCTACTGAGCACCCAGGAGACACTGCCAAGTGCAGTCCAATAAAGCAGAGTGCTAAAAATACAGACGGGACTCCACTCCTTCACAAGCCTTAAAGAAAGCACCACTGGTTTAGTTTTCATTTGCACTGGCTGTAATAGGGAAGATTTATCTGTCTGCAAGTTGGACCTGTGGATAAGGGCAGGGAAAAGAAGCTCCTGTGTGTCACTGCTTATCTGTGTGTCTGCAAGCAAACATGAAGGACAGAGTGCAAAGTTGTGGACATGCCATTTTATCGTTCTTGGCTCACAGAACAATTTTAGGAGTCAATGATACTCATATAAGATATTCCTTCAGTTTGCCATTGCCATCTAGTGGCTTTTGGAAGCAGAAACGTGCACTTCCCAAAAGAGAATTTTGAAAAAATACTGCTATGCCCTAAGTGTCCACAGGCTTCAGGAGAGATGGGACATGAGGACTGAAGTGGAGAAAAAGCTAAATCAAGGTCCTTCATTCATAAGTGCTCATCTCATACACAGCACAGGGGTAGAGGGATGGTTGTGGGATTCCCCTTGTACTCCTTGAAGATGGTATTCATCAAAAGATAAATATTGCTTTGCTGTGCAGGAACATCTCCCTGTCTTCCTCCTTCCCTCCCTTTACTGACCCTGCTGTGTGTCTAATGGGAATATGGTTTTTATTTGGAAATCTTACATGTTGCAGATAGGATTGCCCAGATGGCTGGAGTATGGGCCCCTGTGTGTCCAACAGTGCAGGGGGGTGTTTCACACTGCATTTATTGCTTCCTCACTCAAAAAGCACCAGAAACACTCTTTTCTGTGCACTTACCATCCTGCACAGAGTGAATTCAAGAATAAGTCAGATGGATCGTGCTTTCCAGGGGTTGAGTTTGCAAGTACACCTGAGGCAGATGCCCTCTGTATGACCAGCACTGTACTGAAGCTGTTCATTTAGGAATAAAGAAAACGCACTTCTGCAAATGAAACCTTTGCTGGCTGTTCTTTAGAATAGAACAGAATAGAACAGAACTATTTCAGCTGGAAGGGACCTACAACAATCATCTAGTCCAACTGCCTGACCAATTCGGGGCTGACCAAAAGTTAAAGATATTATTAATGGAATTAATAAAGGTTTAATTAAAATTAAACATAAAATTAAAATTAATGGAATTAAAAAAGGTTTAATGAGCAAAGATACTTCATTATAGCTCTTCTCATGTTCATACACAAGTCAATCCTTCCCTAGAAACCTCCATTATTCAGTGTAGTCTGCAAAACAAGAAAGAGGTGAATTCAGTAGACATCCACAGTAATGCATGCCTCCATCCCACAAAAGTTCTCAGAAGAAGGACCTGTTCCCAGATGGGCCAGGGGACTGCTCTGCCTACCTGTTCCCACCCAGAAATGCTCATGGACGGTGGCATTTCAGCCCCGCAGCTCAGGGGAGGCCAGATGCTGGCAGCATTCATCTGGCTCCAAGTAGTCCCCCTCTTCCCTGAGGTGATTTAAAACACCTCTCCCCACCTTTCTTTCCAGCAGGTCCCAAAGTTTACAGAGTCGCTTCCACAAAACCATTCCCTGTGCTGGGAAATGGCTGCTACCTGTGCCAGACATTATCTCTTAGAGCAAAGAGCTTGTTGCTCGTTCCCAAATGCAAGGCTGAGAGTGCATGGTGTGGCACTGCCGGACTTGCACCAATAGAGATGCTCGATGTTTGGTGCATTTTCCACTCACTGGCCAGCTAATCCCCTCAGCGGTTTCCTGCAGTAAGGTTTTGTCTGGATGTATGGCAATGATCATTTTTTGGACACAGAGCCCAGCTCCTGTCTGGCTTTTATTTTGTCCATGGTCCTCAGCAGAGCATTTCAGCTGCAAGGCAGCAGCTCTGTCCTTCCAATTGTTTCACTACACCAAAAGTAGCACCAAGTATACTGATTCTAGACCTCCCCAGATCCCTCAGTTCAAGTCCTAATGGTGTAATAGGTGAGAGGATCCACTGCCTCTTGCACTCCCTTGCCTTCAGAGGAGATGCATCAGGCTACCTTGCAGGCACTAAGCAACTTACGCTGTAGATCCAGTCTATGTAGGCTGACACACGTGTGAAGACTGTCGGCTTCTTGTAGGTGTTACAGTAAGGAACTAGCCCGTAACTGACAATCCCAAAAACTTGCCAGCGATCATCTTTGTAGCAGCTGAGAGGTCCCCCAGAGTCCCCCTGGATCAGAGGAAGGAAAGGAACATATTAATCCAAATTATCTGGTCAACTGAGGAATGACTGGGTTGGATTAAGAACCACCGGTTAGTTAATCACTGTCCTGAACATCAAAATAACAATTTTTTGCTGCTTTCTTTGCAAAGGCCTGACTGCTCCCCAGCAACATGAGCAGGGACCACTCAGCACCTCCCAAGATGTTGCACTATTTCTTATCTCAGTCTACATGCACATACACACACAGATATATACACATGAACACCCTGGGAAGGGCTGGAACCCTAATTTACCACCACCACTGGAAATTGGTAAGCAAATGTCCAGGGCACATTGCATCACTCACAGTCCTTCCCAGCAAGGTCCACCTGCACAGTATCTCTGCTAAAAAATCAGTGCACTCTCCAGCTACAAGGAACCAGAAAGAAGGGAAATGTTGGTTCCCTTGTTCTTTGCAAACAATTATAGTCCAAGTGTCCTGGGAAGTTAAGGCAGTGAAAAAGAAAGCAACTTGAGTTAAAAGGTATGAGAAGATGAAGGTTCTTGCTTGGCTCAGAACCTGTTTTGTAACTGGGTTCTGTCATAATTAAACCACACCAAAAAATACAGTATATATCTATAGACCTGTAATTATACTTCACATATAATTGCACTAGGTATATTAGTATAACCAGGGTTTTTTTTCAGTGTTCCTATATTATATTTATATATTTACATAATATATGTTATGTATTTGTCCATTATCTTTTAAGGACTCTTTATGATTGCTTTCACCAGAAACCACCTCTGCAGTGAGGTAGCCCCATGTAGCCCCTGCCGCTGCACACCAAACCTCCTTGCCTTGATGCTGGGGCAACCTGGAGCCCCTGGGATAAAGGAGACCTCACAGCATCCTTCTTTTTCATCTAATCTGGTGTAACTTGGACAGAGCCAAAGCTTGCAGCAACCACAACTGTCCATGTACGTAGAGCAGCTGGGGAGGAGAAGGGTGACAAGCAGGGTAAAAGCGTAGGGGATCACTGCCTGGTCCAAAGTCCAACATGACAGCAACGTTGGAGGAGTGGTAGGACTTCCCTGCAGCTTCATTCTTTGAATGAGGGCAGAGGGGTCTGCCAAAGTCTCAATCCATACCCTAGGATCTGGTCCCTGGGTCATGCTGCTAGAAGAAAGGGCAAAACTCTCCTTTGAAATTAGAGGGGAGAGACGCACCCTGAGGATTTGGAGGTTTTCTCTGTGCTGGCTGCACTGTGGAAGATGAAGCAGTCTTGTTTGGAAGGTATTCAGCAGAAAGCAGCGAAGGGATCAGGATTTGCAGGAGAGCAATTGCAGGTGGAGAAATAACAATACCAGGTCCCAGCTGAAGGAATAGCAAGGTCAGATAGGAAGGAAAAAGAGAGTAGCTTGAAAATTTCCTGATAATAAGAGTTCTTACACTGCATCCGGACCTCACGCCGTCTCCACCTGCACAGATCATCGTGACTTTTGCTTGAGATCCCCACCAGTCAGGCTGGGAGCAGATCTCATGGTCGACCACCGGCAGCATCACCTCCTGCAGTGTGTCCGTGCTGCTGCCACTCGCTAGCAGAGAAAAGGGGAGATTTTGGTCCAGTGGTTGAGGAAGGAAGCCCACACTGCCTCGGGCAGCCTTACCCACACAGTGGTCCCTCTGAAACCCAGAGGGACCTCAACACTCCTCCTTCCCACTTACTTACCACTAACTAGCCCCCACCCGGTAAGGTAGCAGGGATAGTTATTGGGCAACATATCTCCTTCAGGTGGAAGCATTCCCAGCTCAACAAACCCATTGTCATAGGCAGAAGAGTGGAGGCGCAGCAGGGCAATGTCATAGCTGAAACAGGATACAGGGAAAAGACTCTTTACTGAAAATCCTGATTTAGTCATAAACAAGATCTGACATCCTGACTCATATTCCATCGCTTACACAGGTCTCTAGCCTCCAGCATGGTGATAGCCAAGCACCTTGCATACTTCATTAATTAATCCTCATAGCTGTCACAGGCAAGAGGAAAATATGAGTGATTAAGACAGAAGATGCCATGGTACAGACTGATAAAGGTCTAACAGCCCCCAAAAATCTCCTACTCCTTTGGAGGCACCCAACCTCAGAGTAAATTTCAGTGGACCCTGGGTGGACAGACATGCCTCTGAGGGGGATTTAAGACAGTCCCTCTACATTTTCCCACTGTCTTCCCTTCGTCAGATTCAAAGAGTGCTGTGACTGCTGGCAAGCCCCTGAATCTGCCAGACATCCTGGATCCCACTGTGATGCTCCAGCTTTTCCCAATCTTGGGCAAAACAACACTGAGGTTATCCACATAGACACCATGTAACACCTCTCCAAGAGAGGAGGTCATTTGGGAAATCTCCATTGCATCATCTTCCAGTGCTTCCCACAAATCCAGCCTCGCTGGGAACTGGGCTGAATATATACATAAACACCAGCAAGACAGGGTGCAATGTAGCATTCAGCTATCCGACCATATTACAAATAATTACCCATTGGCAATGTCATTGGGATTCCAGCCCTCATGGATGAAGACCCTATCCACATCAATGGAGTACTCAGTGCCATCCACCTTCTCGAGATCATGCTCACCCAGAACCACTCGGTAGGTTGCTCCTTCTAGCCTGAAAACAAATCACAGAATAATTAATATACAAACTACCCCCCACTGCTAGCTTTGCACCGTAATTCCTGCACCACTGAGACCTTCCACCAATGTAATCATTTCTAAAGCACCTTCCACAGGGGGATTTTCAATGGACTATAGCTAAACGGTCTTATGAATCAGGCAAACGCTGACTGAAGTTTGCTGGTGGAGCAGACGAAGGTGCAGCATCAGCTAATACAGGGCTGAGCTCAGTCTCGAACGAGAACATTCATTTTGCATATCTGCATCTATCTGAAACAGCGTGTGAAGGATCAGCTTGTTACACTTTATTGCAAGCACATTCACTAAAAGCATGAGTAAGTAAAGAGGAGTGTTCTCTTATTGGTGTCACGCTGTATCGTTTAAGCAGTGCATGTTAGAATACTGCAGAGCAAATCGTATGACATAGCCCATCACCTACAAAACATGCCTTTTCTTCAATCTTTCCATCTCTGTGCAGGTTTCTCAGGATGCAAACCCATTTGAAATGCTCACATTCATGCAAATGTACCTCCTCTTATGCAAATCAGCAATCAGCTTGATTTCCACTCCCAGGAAGTCAGCAATTAATGCATAAAATCAAGTCTAAAGCAAACAAGAATTTTCCAGTTCCCTTGATTAAGTGTGCAGTGAGATGTCCAGCTGTGCATGGAACGACACCAGCAGGGAGCTTGGAGGGTGAGAAGGGTCTGCCTCCTGCCTGCAGCAAGAATTAGGAGCAGAGCAAGGGTTTTAATGCTTTTTATCCTACTTACACGCCGAGGCAATGGGCTGCAGTCATGACCCATTTGGTGCTGATAAGAGTTCCACCGCAGATGTGAGAGTAGTACCCTGGGTAGTCATCATAGGCAATCTGAAGCGATACCTGGATCAAGCAGCAACATATTTTACACTCAAGCCATGCCATGCATCCGTAGAAATGGTGTGTGTGGCTTTGGACAGCAGAAGCTGTGGTTTTCTTTGGTTTTTTACAAGTACAAGGCTTTTTTCAAGTATAAGACACCAGCGTTACCTGCCACTTCCAGGCGTGTGGTTGAGCCTCATGGCCTCCAATTACTCGCCCTGTCAGCAAATCCCTCTGAAGAGTATCCCTTAGGGGACTTGCAGAGATTGCCCCTAACCACACAAAAAAAAAGGAGAGCAGTTTGTCATTACAAGAGCATCAGTCATTGCGGGTTACTGCCAACGAAAGCTTCTGCGGAGCAGGGCAGCCAGCTAAGCAAGTCTGAAGGATCAAGTGATTGAGACTTGCATGACGTGACAAGGCACTCGCTCTCCATCTCCATCCCCATCCTGAAGGCTGCCTTTAAAGCCTCCATGGTTGAATAATACCATAAACACCTCCCAAGACACAAAGCTCTTATATAGGTGGACTTGTTTCCCACACTCCCTGCAACTCCACCCTAAATTCCCTTTCTTTCGGGGTGTAAGTTTCCCTTCCCCTCTGTCAGGGCACCACCAGATCTTCATGGAGATCTTGTTCCCTCAATAGAGAACCCTTCCAGCCAGAATAATTGTGTTCCCAATGGGTTTGCCCTAGCACAGTACCTGCAGAGAAAAAAAATTATATGCTCTAATCTGCACACCTTAGAGGCTGAGAGGTTCACCCTTTCCCAGATCCAATACTTCAATTGCAACTTACCCAGGCAGCTCAGAAGAACCAGAAACTGAAGCATCTTTAATGAAGTGGTAGCATTTCTCCCAGAAAAACTCTTCTTATATAGAAATACCTGATAAGAATCTGTGTGTAAATTTGTGATTAATACAATTTATCTATACTCATAACTCATTAAACTGATCAAAAATGTTGTCTATGTGGAAAAGAAGTGGGAGCAGCAACCTGTTCAAGGTAGAGGCCAAGGTTACACAAACACCCCCTCACTGCATAGTTCCCACAGGGCCATGAAGCAGAAAAAACCCTGATAAATTTGGAGTGCTCTTAGATCAAGTCAAAACCAAACCAGTGCAAACCCAGGCTCAAGAAGCCAACACTTCAGACCAGCAGTTGTCGATGCATGTGTTGTATTCCCTTGTAAGAAATGTGTCAGTCCAGCTGTCTGCTACTCCATGTAACATGAACTGCATTTTCTCAACTAGATAAAAGGAGCAATAGCAAACAGGGAGAAGTGTGATCACCGAGAGTGGTTCGACCTTGGCTGGACACACCGATCTTTTATGAAGATACTTTTCTGCTCTCTCCTCCCTGCTGAATGAGTTTTCCTCTGTCTGCCCCAAAACGCGGGCTCTCAGTGGCAGGAGGGGAGGTAGGGAGCTGGGCTGTGTCCAAGGGAGATGATGCAGCTGGAAGAGACTGGGGCTATCTCTGAGGAATGGAAAAGGTCCCATAATCACAGAATGCTTAAGGTTAGAGGTCTGGAGCTCAGCTGGTCCAACCCCCCTGCTCATGCACGCTACCTAGACCTGGTTGCCCAGGACCATGTCCAGACAGCTTTTGAATATTTCCAAGGATGAAGACCCCACAACCTCCCTGGGCAGCATGTGCCAGCGTTCAGTTACCCTCGCAGCAGAAAAGTGCTTCCTGATGCTCAGTGAGAACCTCCTGCATTTCAGTTTGTGCTCATGGCCTCTGGCCCTGTCACTGGGCACCACTGAAAAGAGCCTGGCTCCATCCCCTTTGCACCCTCCCTTCAGGTACCCCTTGTCCTGTCACTGCAGGCCCTTGTAAAAAGCGCCCCCCAGCTTCCTTGTAGCCCCTTCAGGTACTGGAAGGGTCTATGAGGTCTTCCTGGACCCTTCCCTTCTCCAGGCTGATCAGTCCCAGCTCTCTCAGCCTTTCCTCATGGGAGAGGTGCTCCAGTCACTTTATCGTCTTGTATAAGTATGCCCATGTCTGTCTGTTACTGGGGAGCCCAGAACTTGACCAAGTACTCCAGGGATGGCCTCTCCAACACTGAGCAGAGGGGAAGGATCACCTCCCTCGACCTGCTGGCCATGCTTTGGTCAGTGCAGCCCAGGATGCCATTCACCTGATCTGTGGCAAGGGCACACTGCTGGGTCGTGTTCTGCTTGGTGTCCACCAGGACCCCAGGTCCGTTTCTGCCCAGCTGCGTTCCAGCAGCACGTAGGAAAGGCACCAGGTAATTTTGCCAAGACCTGCACCCCATCTTTGACAGTGGCCTTGATGTAGCACTTCAGAAGTAAACGTAGAAGCCTTTGTAATGGATAACTTTCTTCTAGGGGAAGTATGTTTTGCTTTTTTATATCCTCATTAACTGCAGTCCCCTAACCATTTTATACTTGTGGAGCATCATGATTGATACCCCTTTAATGGTTTAAGGCAGCTATCTGGGAGCATAGCAGATGCGTAAGCTCTTCAGTTAAATGTAAAATACCGCCTTGCTTTACATGCCCAGTGAGGAAGAAAGCAAGAAATGCCTGTATGTGGTGGAACTCCGAGACTTGTTTCCATGATCGGGGCAATCCCCTTGGGACACACAGGCCATTGGCGGGTGGGAAGTAAAGCTCATCTTGAACTTGAACTGAAGCCAGAGACCAGTTGTCAAGTTAAAAAGGAACTGGAGAAGATAGCAAGGATCATCCACCTGGATATGCTAATGGGATCCACTATCCATGGAATGGATACTGTAGGACCAGTTTTTCTGTATCATCCCAACAGTCTTTTTAGCAAATCCTTTTTCTTTTACTGGAAGTAATAAAAAGTTCAGTGTGATATTTCAGAACTGAGACCTTCTTGAAGTCACTGAACACTTTTTCCCCCTTACATCATAGATCATTTTAGCTTCTAGTTAGTTTTGGCTGGGAGGTCAAAAAGTGGCCTCCTAGCCAAACAGTCTCTTCGCTCACTTTCACTACATTCATCACCCTTGTTAGACCTGGCAAACTCACCCATTTTCTACTGTTAATTTATTTTTTCCATTATCATCTGTGTTCCTTACATACAATTTTTTTGGAGAACACTGTTGTTTGTTTGTTCTGCTTTTGGACATCATGCCATTTAGCCTGAGCAATTGTTTGTCCATAATCTGTACTCCACAGCAATGCACATGGTATCCTACTCATTTCGCAGCTGAGTGGCTTTGATGTTGGGCTGTGTTGTAATGCTCAAAGGAGAAATAAATTACGCTGGGGATGATAAATTACAGCTGTTTTCAGAATTCCTCCACTTCAGACGTTGTTTTAGCATGGAGCTCTTCAGGGACTGTCTGTGTTTTGCTCTGGGCTCTACATATATGGTTTCTGGAAGAGGTGAAAGTATGAGACATAATGTGAATGGAGGGAGGGCAGTTCAAGCATTGGGAGTGGGAAGCTGTTCCATGTACAAGCACTTGGCAGGGTGAAAAAACTTGAATATCTGAGTTAGGAGAAGGAAAGGAAAAAACATTGGCATTAATGGCAATGAGGAGGCTGATTAGTTTTTGGGTATCGCAGCATTACCATGGAGCTCCAATTGTGAAGCTTGGCTTGAGATGCCCAATTCTAGAGCTGCCATCCAAAACGTATCGTCTCACCTACCACTAAATCTCAGAGGCACATAACCCTCTAGGGGCTATGAAATCTGTTTCAGAACACGTGCAGTCCTAAAACTGGAGTCCAGCACTCTTCCTTTCTGAAGGACAGACTCAAACCAAAGGCACCTCAGGGTTTCTCACAACTGCAGTCAAAAATTAAGTTCTGTGCTCCAAGTTTCTTCCAGGAAATAAAATGGACCATCTTTCATACCACAAAGCCAACTCAAGTTGCCCTGTTTGTGTCCATATGACATAACTCTTTTATACTCTAACAAAATTCTTCTATACTCTAAAGCAGAGAGGTCTCATCAGTGCTGCCTATGGAGCAGGGCATTTCATCCATACTAACTTTCTAAACCGTGTCAAGAGTTGTTACGGGGAACATCGGCTGGTGCAAACCAGTGCTGTGCTAGCACTAACATTTAACTGTATAGACAAAAGCAGGACAAGGCATGGGTTGATGTTCTAGCATGTTTAGTTAATTAGTATATAGCCTTTTTGTCCTTGTCCTCAGAGCATCAGAATTAAATATTTTGATGACAGCAGCATTTTCTGGGTAAGTAGATTATTTTAGGAGTGATGGGAAGGATAAGGAAGGTTGTGAGCATTAGGATGGATTGTGAGGAAAGATTCCAGGACTGTACAGCAAATAAGGAGATTTGCATGGACTTGATGAGATCCATTGGGAGCTACTGAGCCCAAAGTTGAGGACATAGTCATCTCTCAGGTAGGTCTTAAAGCACAAACTGATTTCCAGACAGTGGGAGGGTTTACTGTCTATGTTTATTGTGCACATTTATGTTTGATCTGCACCTACATGCTTTTCCTAAGCATCTGCTATCACCCATTGCCACTAGGCTATTGGCTAGATGAATCTTGGTATGACACAGTTTAGCCCTACATATGCCTTTATTTATTGATTATGTGCCTGGAAATGATAGCCTCGGATTTATTTTTGCAGTGCAAGTGCCAAAGTTCCCTTTCTTCTTTATAGCAGCAATTCAACATAACATCTCTATTTAGGATTTTATTAAGCACATTGTTAACTTAAGTATGTGTTAATGTAAAGCACATGCTCCTCTTCTCAACAGAGATTTTAAACATATTAAGCAGCACTAGAGAAGACACACAGAGTATTTAATATTTCATTATTTTTTAATTTATATTCATTGTCTTCCATAACTGAATTTGAGTTGATCAACACACTGATAAACCCATAAATATTCCTAGCTTATTATCCTTTGGCAACAAGTTAGAACAACATGAGTGGAAACATTTATATTACTTAAGTAAAAGAGCCTATGGATACACTACCCTGAAGACTGACAAAACTTTGGTCTATGGCACTTTTCTTAATAAATGTACTACAGCAGCACTAATCATCATGAATGAGGATCAACGGACAAATGCCTTCACTTTTTACTCATTTTATTGCTACAGGATGAAGCCTTTATTTCAGTATGAGTACTGCTGAGCTGTAAAAAGGGATGCAAGGTATGAAATGGCTAATTTGTCAGTCCACACCATTTATCTCTGTATCCAGAAGCAAATCTCCGGACGTTCATCTAAAACATATTCAACCCAAATATATATTTTATTTATATATATATACATATTCAACAGATATACATTTCTTAGGCAGCTGAGGTGCAGGCAAGTTATAATGCACACATAAACTACTCTGCAAGTGGTTTATAAAGAAGGTTGATATACAGCCTGTTGAGGGTACATGGGAAGTGAGATTGCCTCCTTCATTAGGGCTGTATGATCAAGGACCTTTTTTGTTCAGAGGGGATAACAAGTAAAAGGGAAAGGGATAAACAAAACAC